TTTAAACTATAATTACGATTAAAGTTTGATATTAAGGGGGAATAAGGCAACCCCTTATATCATTTCAACACCTTTTTACATCAGCTCCTTTAGCACTTTGCAAATGCCTGCCATGTTTGCCTGGGGGATCCTTTAAAAAACATTTAATTAAAATGCGTTACAAGACCCGAACAAGGCGACAACGCTACATTGTTAATTATAAATTTTTCCCTGCATGTTTGCCCTGAGTGTGTCTCTGTGTGAGTTTTTTATGGCGCAGCATCGGCAATTAACAGACAAATATAGCAACAAATAACTGCCAGCAGCCAGGTTTTGCAGATGCTGCGATTTTTATGCCGCTGAATTATTGGCGGTTGTTGTTCCTGCCACAGCTGCCGGCATTAATCCAACACGCGCTCTCCGATTCGATATGGACTATGGCCGCCGCTGCATCTAACCGATGCGCCTCGTAAACCAGACCCACGAACAATAACCCCATCCCGGTGGATGCTCTGTTGCAGGCGCCCCCATTCCTTGGTTCGACATCAGCCCGGGCCAATGTACATTTTTGCAGTGATTTGCGTCCATCGGCATGTCCTGCGAGGATATTCCAACTCAGTCCGCGAGGCTTTTCGTGTTGTTTCGCTGTTATACTCAGTGATATCCTGGAGTTTTTTTGGGATATATGGAATAAGGGATTGGTGAAAAGATATACATATGAGATATAATAATTATAAAACCTTGTTTAAATATAAATAATTTATTTTTAAAATAGTTTTAAGCTGTATTGTACTAGTTGGTTTATAAATAAATATATTAAAAAGCGAGCTTGTATTTGTTTTATTTTAATGTTAACCATTTTTAAAAAATTTTAAACATTAACTGACTTTTTTAGAATTTTAAACAGAAGCAGCAGAAGATAATCGATATTTTTGGGTAAAAATCCAAATTTAAAAAATCTGTAACTCAGCCAAAAATGCATTAAATTCAATTCGGAAAGCTGTTTTGTCTTAGTTTTTATAATGTTTATTAATCTGCATACTTAACTAAAAACTTTTAAAAATTCAAATATTTGGCAATTTTAATGATGTAACCCCTTACATTTTTTTGGAAAAATTGCGAAATTTTTTTTTCTTCAAAACATGGCTTATATTACTCGGCTGTCGATGCTGATCAAGAATATATATGGTTTATAGGGTCGGAAATGACTCCTTCACTGAGTTTTAGATTACGATATTTTTGGGGAAAATCAAATCTTAAAAAATCTATAACTCAGCCAAAAATGCATTAAATTCAATTCGGAAAGCAGTTCTGAGTTAGTTTTTTTAAGGTTAATAAGTCTGCATACTTAACTAAATTTTTTAATTTTAGTCGATTTTTGAAAATTTTAATGATGTAACCCCTTACATTTTTTTCGAAAATTTGAAAAAAAATTTTTTTTGTTATAATAGCCAAATCGACTCAGCTTTTAATGCTGATCAAGAATATATATGGTTTATAGGGTTGGAAATGACTCCTTCACTGCATAAAATGATAATCCATGGGAGGAATATAAGATACCTTCATATTTCCATAACTTTTATTTGCTCTCCTTGAACCCATTTCTACTGGATACGTCCTAGTCCAAACTAGCATAGAAACTCTCCTTTGTGATATATTTTTTCTGTGCAGCATCGCATCCCTGTCTGGCATTCAATTGAACCGAAACGCGAATGGTCATTGGGTAAGCCCCAGCGAGAGGCTAGGGGGCCATATGCATACGCACTCTCTGATTGCATCAAGTTGAAATAATGTAATTAGTTTTTGTGCCGCGGTCGTGGTCGCGGGTCCGGGTCGGGAATGCAATTCGGCGGAGTGGCGGGGATTGCTGATGTGGCTTGGGGGTTTTCGGGGTGGGATAAGTTTGCCCCGTCCGATGTTTTGGGGCCTCGTTAGCAGTTTGTTTTGTGGAAGAGGAGAGAGTTTTTGCTGGCTAACAACGACAGAAAAAAAATATAGATAGGTGGCTTCAGCGCTGTTCGTTTCAATTGGAATTCCCCGGTAATGGCAAGCGTTTTGATTAGATGGCCAGGCTTTTTGACACTTTTTTTTTCCAAAATCATAGAGTTCTCGGTGTCATTAGATAATTAAAGTAGGAAACAGGGGAAGGGAATACCACCAGGATACCTTAGAAGAGCTGAAAAGTATGCTAAAAAATATATTTAAAATATGATCGATTATTTCTAGGATTAATCATTTAAGTTATACATTTATTTGTTAATTTCGGGGTTTATTTTATGTTTTTATATTATAAAATAATATACAATAAATCATAAACAACTTGAATAATGAATATTTATCTCTTTGCTTTATTCCATAAAGAAAACTTTTTAATAATTTATAAATTAAAGAATTTTCCCATATTTTCTTTTCATTAATATCCTAATTTTCATTTATTTTTAAACTTAATTTTGCTGTAAAAATCTATAAACTCCATAAATAAAATCTTTACTTAATTAAAAGCAGCCCAATTTTGGCACAACCATCCCCTCTAGGCTCTCCAAAATCAGAAAACAAATTTGATTCCAATTTAATTCCAGTCATAATTCATACTGTAACATCTGCTGCTAGACTTGGGCTTGGTTAACTTACCCGGAAATCACAGGACCTCTTCTCTCTATTATTTTCTACCAACTCCAATGCCCAGCCTACATATTTAAGTATCTCCTTATATCAAGTTGGCAAGGCAAAAGTGCTTTTTGGCCACATTCCATGGCGGCGGCCAGAAGGAGACCAAAACGGACCGCACCAATTTAATGGCGCCCCATTACGCGCCATATCGAATGGCCCCAACAAAAAAAAAGAGAACAAAAATTATCGCACAACGGCATGCCATTCGCTGGGGCTGTCAAATAATTAATTAGAAAATAATTGCACGTAATAATTCATGGGGGCCCCTCTTTCGGGGGAGCCATTCAAATGGAGATAGATAGGGAGAAGAAAGCCAATGGCCCCTGGGCAGCCTGCCATAGCACAGATTTTCCGGCTGCAAGATGGGCGATGGGAAATGGAAAATTGGAGCTGGGAGCTGGGAGCTTTGGGCCAAGCTAATTCGGAATGTTAGTGCTATTAATTCCGTATGCATTCGATTTGTGGGCACGGGACACACTCAACCCACTCAACCCACCGAAGCTGTCATGTTGCGCACATCCAGAATTAATCATCGCCATGCAGCATAATTTATTATGTCACACAGTGGCCGCTGCCGTTTGCCGCAAAACCCAAAACTGTCGGGCATACCGACTGAAAACCAGGGGCCTGGCCAGCAGCGGCGATTACTTCCTGCGGTCGTCGGTTTGACGTGGCCCATTTAAAAACAGTGGCCAGGACTTTATTGCTCTATTTACGCAAACAGGCACAAATGGGTTCGAAATAATAGGGGTTTTTTGGGAATAGTTCAGGGTTTGTGTTCACAAAATAATTATAATAAAATAATAATAATTACTTTACCTGAAATATTTTGTAAGCCCACACAATATGTTGACTTAAAAAGAAACATATTTTAGATAAAATCTCATTTTAAGACATAGAAAAAATTCCTTCCCTTAAATCTGCCTACTGAAATTATTTTAAAACTTTATTCATAAAATTACGATATTTTTGGGTAAAAATCCAAATTTAAAAAGTCTGTAACTCAGCCAAAAATGCATTAAATTCAATTCGGAAAGCTGTTTTGCCTTTGTTTTTATAATGTTTATTAATCGGCATACTTAACTAAAAACTTTTAAAAATTCAAATTTTTGGGAATTTTAATGATGTAACCCCTTACATTTTTTTCGAAAAATTGCGAATTTTTTTTTTCTTCCAAACATGGCTTATATGACTCAGCTTTTAATGCTGATCAAGAATATATATGGTTTATAGGGTCGGAAATGACTTCTTCACTGAGTTTAAAAATCGATACGATATTTTTTGGGAAAATAAAAACTTAAAAAATCTGTAACTCAGCCAAAAATCCATTAAATTCAATTCGGAAAGCAGTTCTGAGTTAGTTTTTTTAAGGTTAATAAGTCTGCATACCTAACAAATTTTTTTAATTTTAGTCGATTTTTTGAAAATTTTAATGATGTAACCCCTTACATTTTTTTTGAAAAAATTAAAAATTTTTTTGTTTGCTTAAATAGCCAAATCGACTCAGCTTTTGATGCTGATCAAGAATATATATGGTTTATAGGGTCGGATATGACTCCTTCACTTAGTTTTACGAGTGATTACGATATTTTTGGGGAAAATCAAATCTTAAAAAATCTATAACTATTTTTGAAGCTAGAAAAATTCTGATTACGATTTCTTATGACAATTATTTTAAAAATTTAAGTTAAAATAATATTTAAAAAAATTTTCCAATTAAAATAAAGCCTTTTATGATTTTCCTTACCTTGTAAATAACATTACCTTTACATATAACCTCTAAACACTATTTATTTAAACACATTTGTCATCTTTGTGGGCGTTTTACCCCAGAAATGTCGTTGCCGAGTGTCCCATGTTGACGGGCTCTTCAATCAAATGCGAAAATTTGTATAATTACAGGCTGGTTTTGGATGGCCAGACCCCATACGCAGGCCTCTCAAGTGGTGTACAGCCATTTGATTTAATCACGTTAATAGCCTTTGCATGTCGCGGCACTCACGGGGCTTAGAGAGGTGTTAAATGTTTGCGGTTGCATTGTAATAAACTTGCATGCAAATGGCTGCCCCATCAACTTTAATTACTACTTAGGCTCCTTTTTTTTTGTTTGGAGTAATGAAGAAATACTGCCTAGGATGGTAAATTGATGATTGATGGGAGATTGTTACCTAGAAGAAAGAAAACCTTTGTTTCACAGAGGTGTGAGCCATTTCCTGTGAAAGTTTTCGCCAAAAACCCTGATTGATGGTGTCCTGCTAAAGGCTAAATGCTCTATGAAAGGCCTTTTAGGATAGCAAAATATGTAATATAAATTTTATAAATTTCCATAAATAAAAACACTTTGTTTTGCGTTTATTTTGCATTTTTTAAAGTTATGTTTTTATTGCATTTCTCTCGTTCATTCTCTCTCTTTTTGTGTGGCGTTTCATTTCAAAATGTATTCTGTATGAATCTCAAATGTTGTCCTCACTTGCTCTTTGCTTTATTTATTTGTATTTTTTTATACTTTTTATTTGCACATTCACAAAACAATATTACATTTTCTCTGCAAGTGATTGCCCATTGGTTTTGTGTATTTCTCTCTTGTTTTTTCTCTTTTTGTTTCTATGTTTGTTTACAATTTGTCACAACCTTACAAATTGAAAATTGATATATAAACCAAATACAATTTCGGAATTTCTCTGTGTGTGTATTTGAAAATTCTCATTGAAAATGAAATTTGAGCGGGGATTTACCTTTTGGTTGCTAATATAATAGTTAATAATACTTTGGTTATCGTCTCTCCTCCGGGTATCAATTTTTGGTTTTGTAAGGTGACGGCTCTTGGCTTGGCCATTAGTTAAGCAGCCTCGCTAAATTTAAAAAATATTTTTACTTTACCTTCTAAAAATTTTGTTCAAAGAAAGTAGATATTTCCTTTTTTTGGGGGAGGGGAGGAAGTAGAAGGAGGAATGCTATTTTCAATGTTTTATGCATTTTTTTTGTTTGTTTTTTAATTCATATTTTTATTTCAATTTTTTGTGTGTTTGCATTTGCTCATTAAAAACAAATGTTACAACTTACAATTTGGCACATCATTAAAGATTAGAGTTTCCATATAATATAATATATATATTATATATTATATACTTTATATTTATACTTTATGCGACGCCTAAGCGCCTGAATCTATGTGTGTGAAAGTTAAAACAAAAAAGCTGACTACACAGATTACGTAAAAAAAACAGTTTCAAATCGTTTTAAATGAGGAGTTTTTTGGAGCTTTACTATAATCATATACATCATATATTGTAGCTGCAGTGTTTGATTGAGTTGCATTTGCATTTATTTTTGTTTAATTTACTCGTGAGCTAACTTTCTTCTTAAGACAAAAATTGTGTTTTTCTTAGAGTTTTGGTTTTTTTCTTTTGTTTTTCTTTGTTTTTTAAAAGTTTGCGGTGGAAGTTGAGTTTATAATTTAAATGTATATACCATACCGTATTTATTATATTTAAGTTTTGCTTTATAACTAGATCTTTTGCCTGGCTCTCAAACCCAAAATGTTCTGTCTGTGTGTGTTTGTTGTGGGGGCGCCAAAAAGTATGCTATGCTTTTTGGCAAACTATTTTTTGTTTTGCGCTATTTGAAAAATTCATTAAATTTAATTACGTCTTTTATTATTATTTTAATTCACTTGAAAGCTACATTTAATTTGGCAATTGTTGGGTTCGATTTGTTTAGTTTTTCTCATTTTTTCTTTATTGTTTTTTCATCTCCTTGCCTGTCCCTGGTCAGCATCTAAACTAATGTTTAATACCTAACTAAAATCATTTAAAATATAAACTTTGGCTTTAAAAATGTCAACGTAAAATTAGATATATATATATATATCATATATCAATGCAGTGTAATTATGAGAAACAAAAAAGTACAAAGAGTAATGATGCCTTTAATTAATTCTTCGATTTCACTCAAGGACCTTAGCCTGTCTATGCCATTGTGTGTGTGTGTTTCTGAGAGGAATTAAATAAAATATTATATATCATATATCATATTTCATATATCATTGTGTCATTGTAAATATGTACAATCTGAGACAGAAAAGTTTAAAGAAAACACCATCAAAGTTGAAGCTCTTTCTCTCTTTTTCAAGTTTAGGTTTTTTTAGTAGGTTTTTTTTGTCGAAGAAGAACACTTAAAGAATTGCACGTTTACACACACACAATTAATTAGTAGCTTTGTTTTTGTTTTTGTTTTTTCATAGCATAGTTATGGTTGATAAACAACTAGTATAAATTTGTTTTTGAAGACAGTAGCTGCCTAAGAATCAAATATATAGAGCGAGTCAACTCCCATTTTTGAGCATTTTAATCATTTTAACATTTTGAAAAATACACAACGTTAAAAGTATTTCTTTTTGTGCATTAGATTCGAGTGTGTGTGTGTGTGTGTATAAAATAAATTCTTAGTTTGCTTAGGGAAGTTGCTGGCTTCGAAACAACATCGAAACGAATTGCTTCTTATTTGTTATTAATTTTTACACAACACACAAGGAAAGTGCTACGGAGTAAGAGCTAAAAATTGTAGTTTTTTAATGCTTATTATTCGATTTTTCCACATTATTCAATCAATGGCTTTTTTGTGTGTCACTGGAAGCTTGACCTTTTTCTTTGTTTTAAAACTAATATATATAATATATATTTTTTTTTTTTTTGGGGGGGTTTTCCCTAGTTTTTCTTAATTTGTTTTTCTTGCTTTTTGCTGCATTTTAAAGTAAATATTATTGTATATTCCAAGGATATGTCTACGTGTTGATCTTTTGCATTTACCTATGCGCTACAATTTATGGGTTTTCTTCTTCTTTTGAGCAATTCGAATTGAGTCGAGTTTTGTGGTTAATTAGCTGCCGAAAATTAAAATATTTAAGGTATTAGGAACAACCAAGCAACGCATTAAAAAATAAATTCGTTGACAAAAATACAAATACAATACAGAAATGAGTATTCTTTGGGGTAATCAAAATTAGAAATATCAATCTAAAATAAATATCTATATCTTGCAAATTAAAATGTACAATTTGTTTTGATTTTGTAAATGTTTTGTCGCTTTCCCGTCTTACTACAACCTACAGTGCTAATTGTTTTTTCTTTTTTAGAATATAAATCATAAATCATAAGGACCTAACTTAGTACAACAAAGTTATGAAATCAACAACCAAAAGCTTTAAAAATATATATAGAGTTTAGTTTTCTCTTTTTAGTTTTGATGATGATGAAAAAGTACCTAAAAACATTGCTCTCTTTTTTAGCTGGTTTTGCTTTTTGATATACAAATACAATGCCCTATATATAATAACTATATATCATGTCGGTAAGTGTATATATATAAATTCTGATCAGCTTTTTTGTTCTGGTAAAAATCTACGCATGAAGCACATTCTTCTTTTCTGCAAAACTAATTTGCAATTTGAATTTTAGTTTTTTTTTAATATTTTTTGTTTGGTTTACTTATATAAACTCCATAGAACTGCCTTTAGCTGCGTATATTTTTTTTGTTTTGTTTTTGGTTTAGCTTTTTACTGGACGACATTGATTTGTTTATGTTTTTTTTTTGTTTTTTTTTTCTTTGTTGCTTAGCTTTGATTTTCAACTCTCCAAGGTCCAAGGATGTTGTTCTTGTGGCTGTTGTCCTCTGATGTTGTTGTTGTTGTTGTTGTGTGTGTGTTGAGTATCTTTCATCTATCGGTTTAGTTTTTGGTTGCAACTTCTACTTACTGCTTCGTAGGGAGAGGAGTATTTTACGTCTAAGTTACTAACTTATTCGCTTTGCTTGCTGCTTGTTGTTCATATTATTAATATTATTGAGCATTTTATTCGTCGAGAGTAGTTCGAGTGCATTATTTGGATGACTGGCGTAGATTGTTCTTAATATGGCGTGAAACGATTGAAGCCGCCGCGATACATGGTTGCCTGATGGAGGAAAAGATTGAAGAGAAAATGTATAATTAGTAAAATTATTAAACATTAGTAATTAGCTAGAAAAATACTTAAACATTAGGTAAAAAATAATACAAAGCTGTTTAAGCTTAAGCTTTGATAACTAAACTTAAAATGAATTAATTTTAAATCGGAAAATTGTTCTGAAATTGTTTTTAAAACTGTTTTTTTTTTAATTTAAAGTTTTTTAAAATTTACATTTTCTCAATTTATGAGAAAATTTTTTCAAAAATTTTCAATTTTAACGATGTAACCCCTTATTAAATTTTGAATAATTGAAAAAAATTTGTTTTGAATATTTTTTTTTATAAAAATCTAAATTTAAAAAGTCTGTAACTCAGCTAAAAATGCATTAAATTCAATTCGGAAAGCTGTTTTATCTTAGTTTTTATAATGTTAATTGATCTGCATACATAACTAAAAACTTTAAAAAATTCAACATTTTGACAATTTTAATGATGTAACCCCTTACATTTTTTTCGAAAAATTGCAAAATTTTTTTTTTTTCAAAAACATGGCTTGTTTGATTCAGCTTTTGATGCTGATCAAGAATATATATGATTAATAGGGTCGAAAACGCCTTCTTTACTGAGTTTTAGCTTCTAAAAGTAATTATAATACCCTCAAAGGGGTCTTAAAATGTAAATATTTATCCATAATTTTATATGATTATTTTTTGAATTTCTAAAATTTAATAAGCATTAAAATGCCTGAATTTCTGTTTGGCAAACTGTTCTTAGTTTATTATTATGTAAATAAACATATTTTATATTTTTAAGCAAGCTTAAAATAATATTTAAAAATTAATAAGTAAACAATTCTTACCCCATAGCCAGGCACTGGTCCAATGCCATGTCCTAGATAAGGATCTGCATACTCGCGCGCATATCTATAAATATTTGGTTCGTTCAGCTTATTAGTAAGTTTTCAGGTGCTATTTTTTGTTTTTGTTATTTGGTTTTAGTCTTTGGGATGAGTTGATTAGTTGATGAATCCAGTTGGTTTTTTATTTTTAATTATTTAAGATTTTCTTGAATTAACCATAGTTGTTAAGTTTAGTTAGGGTCTTGCAAAATTGCTCTATCAACAATTGTACTTCTTGAGTCCCCAGTTTTAGACTTCTACACTTTACACAATTACACACAGAATAAGGAAAGTGTTATAAAAAAGAAAAGAAATCAAAAATAGTTAGACAAATTTTAAAAAAGAATGGTAAATAAAGAAATTTGCTGTAAAGGAAGGAATTTGTTATAATAAAAGAGGAAATAATAACAAATAATAATAAAATAAAATAAAAAAATAATAATAAAATAAAATAAAATAATAAGAAAATAAAATAATAATAAATCAAAATAATAATAATATAATAAATACATAGATTTGTTAGAAAAAGAAAATTGTATAAATTGAAATTGAATTGAAGAAAATAATAAGAACTTAAAGAATACTTAAAATATAATTAGATATATAATAATAAAAATTACAGAGAAAGTATAAAATATTAACCAAATAAAATATATAAGATATTAGAATTTAAATTATTTAAAATAATAATAAATACTTAGCGTGAAAGTTAAATTTAATATTTTATTAAACTATAAATAAATAAATTATAAATTCCAACAAAATAAATAAAAACAATGGAAAATAATTGCGGGATAATTACTGTAGTAAAAAGACCTTTAAAAATATATTTAAAAATAGATTAATAATATATTTTACACTCCCAAGACCTGTCTAAAAATACTTCAACTGAAGACATCGTCAAAACTTTTGTTTTGTTAATACTTTTAATGGGTTAAAATTGTTAGTGAGTGATGAAAGATTAGAGTTAAGTCACCTCTATTTATATAAATTTTTGTGAGGTATTACGAGGTCTGTCAAGACATTTACTTTAGGCATAAATTTTCAGGAAGAATGTGAACCTAATTTTATTATACCCTTGCAGGGTATTATAATTTCAGTCAGAAGTTTGCAACGCAGTGAAGGAGACGTTTCCGACCCTATAAAGTATATATATTCTTGATCAGCATCAACAGCCGAGTCGATCTAGCCATGTCCGTCTGTCCGTCTGTCCGTCTGTCCGTCTGTCCGTCTGTCTGTCTGTCTGTTTCTACGCAAACTAGTCCCTCAGTTTTAAAGCTATCTGAATGAAACTTTGCATATAGTCTTCTATATGCTCTCACTGCTATATATGTCGGAACGGGCCGGATCGGACGACTATATCATATAGCTGCCATACAAATGTTCGATAAAATTTTAGAAAAAAAATTAAAACTTAGCTGTTTTTCAACATATGGGCACTATTTTTTACATATGACCATTTTATATTATTTCTGAATTTTGGTAAAAATTTTATGAAAATCGGACGACTATATCATATAGCTGCCATAGGAACGATCAGGAAATTAATAGAAAAAAATTATAACTTCGTTGTTTTTCAAACTATTTTTATCTACTCTGAGATATAAGCTTATTTTATTAATTCAGAATTTTGGTATAAATTTTATGAAAATCGGACAACTATATCATATAGCTGCCATATAAACCGATCGGTAGGTGTAGGGAAAATGTAAAACTGGGAATGTAAAACTGTAACTGTCAAACTCTCAACATAATAAGTATAGATAAAATGCAATGAAATAATATCTGCAAGGGTATACAAACTTCGGCGTGCCGAAGTTAGCTTCCTTTCTTGTTTTTAAAGAGATTTTAACTATATAAAATCCAAATAAAAAACCAAAATAAATTCAACTTTCTTTCCCAAAATTCCTTTTTCAAAAAGTAAACATTAAAACAGACTCTCTTGTTAGTTAATTTCCCTTATCTTTCCTTGATAGATAAACTTACCCAGCTACGGTGGCATAGCCGGCGAGTGCCGGCTGGGCGGCTGCTGCGGCAGCGGCTCCATAGGCGGCCCGGGCAGCTACCGCCGTATAGGTGGTGGCCGCCGTGGCATATGCCTGCTGCTGGGCCTGAGACAGCGGTGTCTTTAGCAGCGGAGCAGTGGCCTGGAAGAGCGTTAAGCAAAGGACATTAAAAACTAGGTTAAATCCTCGAGGAGAACAGACTCAGTCACAGATCGGGTAGGGTGTATGGATCTGCAAACTGAATCTGGGTTTCTCTTTGGGGGGGAGGGGTGACAACGGCAAACGACACAAGACTAGCGGAGGAGGAGGAGGAGGTGGAGCAAGTGTGGTGAGCAAAAATTAAGGAACCCAAACCGGTGGAGAATACACACACAACCACAGATAATCAAAATAACAGGGGGTGCAAAAAAACAAAGTGGCAGGTTGGTTGGTGGGTGGTCAGTGTGTGAGATGTAATATTCTATGTACACTTAGGTATAACCTTTAAAACCGAGCTACGAAGAGAAGAGAGAGAACCCAAGATGCCAGGCTACCAAAAACCGAAAAGCGAGGCTCGTAAACAGTAAATAACTTAGCATATTCGATTATAAACTATGGGTTAACTTAGAACTTATGGCATTATAGACATACATGATTATTAGTTAAGGTGCAAACATTTAAAAATAAAAACAAAATGAGAAGAGACAACAATCAAACGGAAAATCAAGGGGAAAATACAGATAGATAAATCTATAGTATAGGTGCAAGTTGGAATTGGACTAGAAGCTAGATATGATTATTTTTACCAAAACATTCTGTGGAACCGGAATGCGGTTGATCGTATGTGGGTTACTGTTTAGCGTAGTCACAGTGCGGCGCTGTAATTTATGGTTTTTTTATATAATTTTTCAATAGTGTTGTTGAATTGTTGTTGAATTGTTGTGGTAATTGTTGAGTATGTTGTTGTATAACAGTCGTGAAAGATAAACCAAAGAAAGAGTTTTGTAGTAGTTACAAAAATGTTTACAGCATCGAATATCATATATATATATAGAATAAGTTAAGTTTATTTCAGCGAAAGCAAGAATTTGTTGTAACAAATTAAAGAAAACTAGCAGAAAGTATAGAAAAAAACCAGAGCGTTTAGCCTCCTAATTGATTGTTGTAGGAAAATATAATTGGCAAGTTGGTAATGCTCAAAACCAAAACAAAGGATGCAGTTATATAATAGCAGAGAGAGAGAGCTTATACACAAGTGTTCAGAGTCCACGTTCCAGTTAACAGACATTGAGTTAATTAAGCTTAGCTAAGCCTCCAGCGAGTGGCTTATCACAAAGTAAGGAAAATAAAGTGTTGTTACGGGATAATGGATAAATGTGGGATAAATGCATAAGTATAAAACTCAAATAAAAATGAGAGTAGTGGGTAAGAAAACGTTTTGTTCCAAAAACCAAGTCAAAACTCAATCGGTGTCTTAATTTTTTTGTTGTTGTTGTTTTGCACAAGCTACCATCATCAAAAATATACAAAATCATAAAAGTTGAAAAATCGTTCTTAAAAATTCTCTGGTTTTGTTTTGTGAGGTTAGGCAAATATTAGTTTTGACAAAAGTTTTATTACATTTAATATGGCGGCTGGCTGAGCGGCTGGAACTTCAGTGACCGGTTTGGCTGCCTGTAAAATTTATATAATATTTTCATGTATATTTGTCGTGGCAAACAGAGAGAGTAGTTGGGGGTTTTTTAATGTAGTTTTTTTTAAATATAAATATATAACTTAAAGGCTAACCTAACGAGATAATACCATAGACTAGTTGTGATAGGTTTGGGGTTTGTTTAGATTTCTATATTTTCTATACAAGACTCACCTGGAAGCGTAGATTCGGATCAGCGGAAGCAGCGGCTGCTAAGAAGGGATCATAGTATACACTGCAATTTGTTTTTGTGGGGGGAAAGAATAGAATATAGAAAATAAATATATTAATAAATTAAATATTTATGGGTTTATAAAATCTGGGCAAGTAGAGGTGAAAGAGAGAGAGAAAGAGAAGTGAGAGGCAAACAAAAGACTTTTTTAGGGTTTTTTGGTTAACCTCTCACTCAATTTTTGTCACTTAAAAGCAAAATTCAAATTTTTTTTTTCTTTTTGGTTCATATATATATTTTTTTTAACGCACTTGTGTGGTTTTTTTTCATATATTTTTTTGAGTTGGTTAAAGTTTGTTTTGTTTATTATTACAAATAAACTTTAACCACTTCCTCTTTGGATTTTTTTAGGGTTTCTTTTTGTTTAGTTTTCAATATTAAATGTGGTTTCTTGTTTTTTGTGGCAAACTTAACAAAAAATATTATAAAAAATCCTAAAAACCTATACCCTACCTAACCTATCGTAAGCCTGTGCTAAGAAAAACTGACCTGATCTGACCTGATTCCCCACTGGATGACGAACTGATTGGTGGTGGTGGTGGAGGAGGAGGAGATGTTGAGACAGAGTAAACGAAATAAAGGGAAATTATAAGGATTATACTATATATTGTCGTTCATTTTATAGAGATTAACTAGCAGCAATGTTAGGCCAACCAACCGAATATTAACCAATCACATTCCATACTCCATTCCCCAAAAAAGAACACTACGGAAAATTGTCTTGCTGTTTTGCTTGCTTTCCACAAAAACCAATGCTTTGTTTTGCATTTAATCTTTAGACAGAACAGACACTCATGCACCTAGCTAAATTAGTTAAGGTTTTTTTCTTGCTGTGTGTGTAGTTTTTATAAGTATACAATATTTAATGGAGCATTCATTCATACGCTATATGGTGTGTGTGGTGGGGTGGGGTGTTCATGTGTGTGTGTAGAGAGAGCAGCCACAAAAGTATATTGTTAATCAAAGGTCTATATATATTTTTTAAAAGAGAGATATATAGGTTGTAGTGTAATGTCAAGGGGGCAGAACATGCACGCAGGGGCGCCACACTTTCAAGTCAAATATTCAAATTCAAATTCAAATTTTTAAATCGAAATTTATCATACGCCTAGTGGTACACAATATACAATCGACGGTTGGTAGGTGGTAGGTGGTAAGGTCCCTTAACCAAAATAATCATAAATATATAAGTAGGTCAATCGAACGATGCCAAAAAACACACTGCTGTCAGTCAAAAAGATGATTCAAATATATAGTGTGTATATATAGAGTTATATATATAGTTTTTTTTACGTGGATGTGAGATGTGTGTTTAGCGTGCGTTAATCGGTTGCTGCGTTTTATATACTATTTTTCTGCATTTAGCAATTTTGTATTCAAGTTTTTCTTTCTTCTATTTGCTTGATTTATACAAAATAGGTCAAAGACTATAGGTTTCATTATATGCGATATTAAAACTTTACACACACAAGATAGCTAAAAAAAACAATGTTCACCAACAAGAATAGAGAGACAGATAGAGTAACACAGAGAGAGATAGAGAGATGAGGCAGGAAAACAGTCTATAAGCTATATATATGTATATATAAACAAAGGAAGCTGCGGGTTAAAATCAAGACAAATGGTAGAGGTTTCTTTCTGTGTAAGCCAGCACAAAAGGGAAACCGTAAAAGTTAAAGGAAGTAATTTTACAAATTATGAAGTTTTAAACTACGTTTATACGCCGGCTACTTGCAGAGCAAAATAAATGTTTGATTTATAGGGAAATTAATTTTAAAATATTTATTTAATTTATGGGAAAAATAGTTCCAAAAATTAAAATGAAATAATTCTTTTAATATTTTATTACATTTTAAATCAAGAATTTTTGTATAGTATCTTGTTTTTAATTTTCAAAATATTAATTTAAGAATACTTTAGGATTATTATTAACTTTAAGAAAACCACAAAATCAATTTTAAAATGTTTAAAAATATTCAATAAAATAATCAACAAAAGATTTAGCTTTCTTTTTTAAGGTTTAACATTTTAAAAAATGTTTTAAGTTGCATTTCTTGAGATTTTAAATTTTTAGAATTTTTTATTAGCCTTTTTAACTAAAATATTTTTGAGAAAAATATACAAAAATCTGTTTAATTTCAATAATTTTAAATATTTTTTCAGCAACCCAAACATAAATTTTTAAAAATATTTTTAACTTGTATTTCACTAGATTTTAAATTTCTAAAAAATTGTTTAGCATTTTTAACTAAGAATTTGTATCAACCTTGTATCAATCAAGAAAAAATATATAAAAATCTAAATAAATTCCCAAAATTTTAAAATATTTGCTCAGCAAACAAACCATAAATTCAGCTTCACAAACCAAAAAAAGCTCTGCCCAAGTGCAGCATCCTTAAAAAATATACAAAATATATACATAATTCGTAACTAGGGCGTGCGCATAAACGTAGTTCGATGGGCTAATGGGTATAGGTGCTCTACGAACTAAGAACTAAGAACTACATTCAAAATCAAAACAAAAAAATGGCGCAGCGGAAACCAACTAAAGTACAAAAACTAAAAAAGAGGTGACAATTTTTCTACGGCAAACACAAACTACGGCGGAAACGCGCGTTGTGCGACGACAACAACGGATGGGTGACGACGAGTGTCACTCCCGGCGCTTCCGCTTCCGGTTCCGGCGCTCTCTCAACTCTTTACTTACGGCGCGAATCCATGCAGGGCGGCAGCATTATTGGCCGCATTCGCCGAGGCAGCCATGGAAGCAGCAGCCGCAGCAGCAGCGGCCGTTTGCGGTGACTGTGTGGCGCCCGCCGCCGACAGGCGTGCGGCATAGGCGGCCGCGGCGGCGGCAGCAGCGTTGGGATTACCACCAACTCCTCCTTGATTCTGAGCAGCGGCTGCAGCGGCAGCGGCGGCGGCGGCCAAGGATTGCTGCAAGGCCGAATGTTGCTGCTGGGCGGCAGCGGTGGGCACGGCCACGGCCTGAAGTTGCGCCAACTGTGGGCCTAGGGCGTGGGCATGGACATGGGCAGCATGCGGATGCGAGGCGGCTGCAGCAGCGGCGGCGGCGGCGGCTGCATGTTGCTGCTGGGCGGCGGCCACTTGCTGCTGTTGTTGCTGTTGCTGCTGCTGGTGTTGCTGTTGCTGCTGTTGATGTTGCTGCTGGGCAGCGGCGGCGGCCACCTGATGTTGCTGCTGCTGGGAGACCGAGACTTGATGCTGCTGTTGCTGTTGGGCGGCAGCAACGGCGGAGATGGCCTGCTGCTGCTGCTGCGCCTGCTGCTGTTGCGCCTGCTGCTGCTGCTGATGATGGGCGGCGACCTGCTGTTGGGCGGCTGCTGCGGCCACAGCGGCGGCGGCCACCTGACGTTGCTGCTGCTGCTGTGCAGCGGCGGCGGAGGCTGCCAGCAGATGATGATGCGGATGATGGGGATGATGGTAGGGACTGGCGCCGACCACGCCCACATGTCCGCGCTGGATGGCCACTCCACGCATGGCGGCGGCAACGGCGGCTGCAGGAGGATATATCGCATATCGCAATTTTAAACCCACGCAAGAAACAACCAAAAATCGTTTTTGTTTGGTTTTTTTGGCGATAGTTTTTCGGTTATGATAGGGTTTTTGTTTTTTGCAACGATTTCACACAACATTTTTGTATTTGTTTATATATTTCGTGTTTGTTTATATATTTATGTATGTTCATGTGTTTATTCGTGTGCAAAAAGTAGAAAAAAGGAAAAGAAAAGAACATAAAATGCATGCGGTTAGTTTTCTCTCTTTTTTGATATATAAGTAAATATTTATATAGAGTATATATAGTATATATATATGGCAAATTCTAGGCTTCATATATCGTTTTTATATAGCGCTGAGATGATGTTGGTTTGGTATATACATATAACAATACATAAGACATACGTGTGTAGGTGTGTGTGTGTGTGGCTCATACATATGTAAATGGGCGTTTTTCTCATATCGAAACATACTTAACATTATAGAACACTCAATTACCAAGAAATAATGCTACGCAGTAGTTGCATTTTATATTTGCATAATGTATATAGAGATATTATATCATTTTCAACAATACAAAAAAACATTAGACCGATCTTTAGTACAGTGGCAGATATATATATATAGGCATAAGTACATACATCCAAATGTGTACCGTATGCGACGTTTTACAACAACTCATTGCATTTTGCTGTGTGTTTTTATTTGGGGTTTTAGTTCAAGTGTTAAAAAGCTTTAAGTTAAATATATATATAAAAAATACATTTAATTCTTTGTTTAACCCTTGCACCTTTCGAATTACATTTAAAACTAGCAAGAACATTTACCAAAGTGCTAAAAAGTGAAAGGGGATAGCGGAGAGATGATAATTTTGGGGTTTTTGTAGAGGATGGAAGGGGTTTTTAAGGGGTGAAAATATGATTTTACATGCGGTGTAAATTGTGTTTAAAACTTAAAAGAAAATAAGGGTTTTTGTTTTTAAGGAATATTAAACGAAAAAAAGTTTTAATCAAAGATTTCTCTTGAAACCTAAGCTTGTAAATTAGAAACTAACAAGCTGTTGTTGCTGCCTTGCTGGTGCATTGCAGGCAAAGCGTGGAAGAGATAGCGAGAGAGAGAGCTAGAAATCACATGCGAAATGGGTTTTATGAGAGCGGAAGCTGCTCTTGCAATCAAAGAAAGAGAGTAAATATGGTAAAAGGTTATTTAAAAAATCCATTTTCAAACGATTTCACGTGTAAAAAGTCGTTTGGAACTTTTTAACTTAAAGAAAAACTTGCCTTAGAATTTTTTAAATGGAAAAAAATTTAATTAACAAAAGGAAAAGCTTAGCTTAGAATTTTTTAAATGTAGAAAAATTCTATTTAAATTTTTTTTAAGGAAAATAATTCATTTAACATGGATAAAAGCTCAGCTTAGATTTTTTTAAATGGAACAAAATTCATTTAAAATAGAGAAAAGCTCAGCTTAGAATTTTTAGTTCGAAAATTTTACTTTTTAAGCCTATAATTTTGCTTTGTTAAAGCAATTAAATAAATATCCCTTTCGGCAACTAAAATAAATCGCCTTTAATTTCAAAAAGCGCCACAAAAGCCGCAGTTGTATTGTGAATTTTACTTTTAATAATTCCACGCGCGGTTTTATCACTCAATTTATAATAATGGCAGGCCTCAAAATTAACAATTTTGCGAGAAAGAGCCACAAAATGCCCAAAGGCTAGGATAGTTTGCCAATAAGCTTTAGCCCTACATTGTGACATTTCGTTTTCATTGGAAATCAAAGCACAAATCATAATTGAAATGTATAAAATTAGCAGCATTGCGGCATTGTGGCAACATTTTGCCACAAATTGAAAATTTGTTTGGCCAAAATGTGCAATTAAAAATTCGATTTGCCGATATTTGTATGGAAATTTTTGTTAAGTCGGGGTGAGTGACTTGTGTGTGTGTGTGTGCACAAGAATTTATTGGAGAAAATTTCCATTTGTATTTTTGAAGCTACATTTTTGCTAAACAATCCTGTGTTAATTTCTGGAAAAATGCTCAAGAGAAACAAATAAATACTGGGGTGTGTTTTGTGTGGTAAAAAGGTGGCATGCAAAATCAATTTATAAAATTCCATTCGATTTCTGCTTTGCGTATTTTTAATTGGCAAATTGAATTTGCAAACGTGGCAAAGGCAAACACAAAATAATCCAAAAAATCATGCAAACTTAAAAACAGAGATATTTTTACGGGGGGAGAAGGAGGATATAGGAGTAGAAATAGAGAGAGTACGAGAGATATAGAGAGAGAGTATATGGTTGCTAGAAAAGTGATGCTCTAAGAGAAAGGCGCCTTACAGAAAAATGCTTGTTCGCTCTACCGATAAACGTTACGATATATATATACGATATAATCGATATATTACGATATACATTTTAGTCTAAAGGTTAAAGCTAAGATTCCTTGCCATACTTAACAGCTAAAAAAAACAGTTACGGTTACAGTTTCAGGTGGTTGCCACTAGAGATTATCACTGCGTTCGAGTGTGTATGTGTGGGAGTGTGTGTGTGCCTAGACTTTTAAAACAAATGCAATCTGAAGGACGGCAAAAATATATGTATATGCAATATTTATATGTAGTAATATCAATAGTCAAATATAGTCATACCCAAAAAAATGCGTAAACCAAAGTAACAAGACAACAAAACATTTATACTTGTATTATTATGGTACAAAGATTGATTTCTCATAGCTAAGGAGTTTTTTTTCCGGTTCTAATTGTAATTATTTGTTGCTGTTGTTGTTGTTGTTGTTGCAGTGTTTTGATTTATTTTTTATTTTATGGGTTTATGATTTACTCAAGATTATAAGCAAGTTTTATATGGAGTTTTGGAGTTTGTAGAATTTTAAAGAATTTTCTGGAGAATTTATAAGGGAAATTTGTATTTAATTTGTTTATTTAATATTTAATATTTTATATATTAATAAGAATTTGTCTATGCTATTAATTTATATATTAATCTTAATCAATTTTACCAATATTTTATTCTAAAGATTTAAAGAAAATTATTTTTAAGACCTTTTATTTGAATATTATCATAAAAATCGGTCTTGGATATTTTATAATATTAAATAATATTTTTAAAAGAGAAAGTACCGTATTTAAATAATTTTTATTATTAAATTTAATTGATTTAATTTAATTTACTAATTAAAAAAACTATCATTTTTAAGTGAAAACTGTTTAAAATTTGTATTCTTGATTTTAAGCACTAAATTTAAACATTTCTAAATATTAAATATAAGAAAAACTCCTCCAAAACAGCTCGCTTATAACCCTAGTAAATATATATATATTTTTTTATATTTCTCAATCTTTTTGAATTCTGCTTTTAGGCGCTCGCTTTCACCAAATAAACCCCAGACTGGGGAAAAGAATCTCTCCTTTCTCCCCAATCGATGTCGTACCTCCGCCGTGGCGCTGCTGCTGCTGCTGCTGTTGTCGCTGCTTGGACAGCGTTGTGCGGTGGGCGTGGTGCCAGCATAATGGGCGTGGCTGCGGCTGCGGCCGCTGCAGCAGCATGTGCCGCCGATGCCGATTGTGCCGCTGCACCGCCACCAACGGAAACCGATGGCGGCGCCTGGGCCACCGGCATGGAGACGGGCAGCTGCAGCGGTGCAAGGGTGGGTGCTCCGCCAAGGGGGGCGCCCAGGAAGGGCCAGGCGGCGGCCACCGGTAGGCGATAACCTTGGATTTGGCATACAGTTTTTTTCGATTAACTAATTGTGGTTATGTTTTTTCTATTGTTTTTCGTTTTCTTTTTTTTTTTTGTTTACAACTTTTTTGAAATATATGAACTTATAATGAGCGTAGTGTGTGTGTTAGGTGTGTGCGTAGGGGGTTTTCTGTTTTTTCAAAATATATATAGGTTGGTTGGTTTATATATATATACATATTCGAGGGATGCATGATGAGGTTGCTGTTGCAGTTGCTTTTGTTGTTTGTTGTTGTTGCTTTTGAACAAAGGTTATATAAGAAATAAGATGCGTAACGAGCAGATATTTTTGTGGCTAGCTTTCTCGCTCGCACAAATTTCTCTCTCTTTCAAAAATTCTTTGCCGTTACTCATCTTATTTCTTATATTGCCATCGTTAAGGCTTAGTTCTAGTGCTAAGAAGTTAGACTTTTTTTGTTGGATCTTGGCGCGCGACGGCGAGAGTTACCAGTTACAGTTACGAGTACGAGTACGAGTATAAATAGTTTACGCTAAGGAGCATTTCAGACATGTTCAGACCAAAGGAATACCAGACCAAACGGAAAACGTGTAATAACAAAAAACTAAGGACAACAAATAAATACACAATAATCAAAGTCAAAGTTAAATTCAAATTGAAATTCATAATCATAATTCATAAATATAATTCATAATTCATAAGGGAACGCACATACAACAAAACTTTGGTTAAGAAAAAGGATATTTAGATAAAATAGTTGGCATATAAATTGATATATAAAGTTATATAGTAGGTAGTATATGCATAAGACAACACAGCCGCAATATGCTAAACTCATAACCATCGTTATAATGATTGCCAGATTATCTCTCAGTCATCATCATCATCATTATAATTATTAATTATTAATTAATATCAAATCAGGACTAGAAAGAAAACGAGCAGACGATCCTGCTTTATTGTTTTTTTGGGATTTTTCGAGCGGGTGTTAATGTGGCATTTTTTATATGATTCAAAACTCTGTTGTTTTTGCTTGGTATTTTTCACTTTGAATTGAACTTTGGTTAAATGCAGACGAAAAACGAAATATAAATTATAATGTAATAAAAAAAAAAAACAAGGGGAAAATAGTTGAACAGTTACAAACAGTTATCAAATAGTTGCAGCATTATATTCATATATAGATTGTATGCATAGTTTATATAGATTAACGCAATTTCCGTCGGGACCTACCAAACAAATAAATTAAATACATGAGATAATCTCTATGAAACGAAAGGAAATGCTCATATTTCATATTCTTTTTTTGTTTATTTGCAGATTGCAAACGCAAAAATAAAATAAAAGTAAGAATAACGAACAAATGCAATTGCAAAAATGGTTTCATTTGGGGTGAACTTTTTGGACGACTTTTTTTTGGATCCTCCCGGCGATGAGCCTACCCAAGGGGGCTTATATAGTATGTTTCCAAAGCCATAATATAAATATCAATATTTAAACCCTACCTAAATATTTGTTTTGCTTTTGGTCTTTGTTTTACTGTTGTTTTGTGTATTATTTTTTCAGCTTACAAGCTAGAAGGTTCGGTTGATAAAACTCTTATAAAATACATGTATATTTTATATAAAACAAAAACTGGTCAATTATTTGTACATTTATGATACCTTATTTCTTGTTTTTTTTTTTGTGTGTGAGTGTGGCGTGTTTTTTACAACAAAAGTACGTACGTCAGGCAATAAATACTTAATAATAGCAATAAAAACGCTGAAGACAACAAAAATATATGTGAACAAAACGCTTACCTTCGGGCCATTGTACGCAGACTGTGTCCAGCAAAACGATTTATATTTTAAATATATAAATATTCGTGTTTTTCAATTGTCGTGGCATGGAAAAGGCAAGAGAAAATATTTTCATTAGTTTTGCATTTAAATTGTGTTTCTTTTTCTTGTTGCATTTCTTTTATTCTTGCTGGATTTAGCTAGCCTATTATATATATTGTTGGATACATTGTCTTGGGCACATATATAGAAAACAGGCAGAGCTCTATTACGGTTACTAGATTGATTTTCTTCTTTTTGTTTGGTTTTGGGTTTTGTTTTTTGTTTGGTTTTTAGTGCTTATGGTAATTGGTTAAATACTGCAGAATACTAATTGATTTGTGGCAATTTGTGTTTTCATTGTTTTTGGCTGGTGCATGCGGCATCCCATGTGTTTTCTCTCATTTTTGTGGCAGTGTATTGACATACATGAAGTTCAAAACAAGACTTGCTTATATAGAAAATGGGGTTCCAATTTGGTTGAAAAGTTAAAGAGAAAGTGATTTGGTTAAGGGGAGAAATGTGTTTGCCAGATGAAAATTTAATTTTTATTTTAATTCCCATTTAAATTTTACTTTTTAAAAGCTTCTTAATTGATTAATATATGAACAAATTCCTGTTTAAGTATTAATTTATTTATATAAAATTTGTTAAAGGCTTTTTAAATAATTCCCTTAATTAATTATTTAACTTTTAATTAAATTCTCATTTAAATTATAATTTATTTATAGAATAATTTAATTATTTCACTTTAATTAAATTCCTATTTAAATTATAATTTATTTATATAATAATTTTTAAGGCCTTTTTAAAATGATAAATAAATTAAATAATTGTATACCCTTTTAGGGTATTCTAATTTTAAACAGAAGCTTGCAGCACTGTAAAGAAGTCATTTCCGACCCTATAAACCATATATATTCTTGATCAGCATCAACAGCCGAGTTTATATAGACATGTTTTGACATAAAAAATTTTTCATACATTTTTTGAAAATTTTATAAGGGGTTACATCGTTAAAATTGTCAAAAATAGTGAAAATTTTTAATTTTTTAAAATGTTAAATCCAGTATGTAGATTTTTTATCTAAATAAAAACTAAAACAGAAAATCTTTCCGATTTGAAATCAATGGATTTTTGTCTGAGTTATGAATAATTTCGAATCAAATTCCTGATACAAAGTGCAAGTTTCCGAAACTAGCTTACTTTCTTGTTTCTTATTAATTTAATATTTAAAATTAAAGACTACCTATTAAGTAGTTTGCTTTATCATTGGTTTACCAACCCAAACTCTAAAATATTATGGACAAATTCTATTCCAGTCCACATTATTATCAATACCTTCCCAGCTTTCAAACGACTTTGGCTTTTTACTTTTAAAACCCCTTTTTCTCTTTGTGCTAAAATAGAGCTCTTGATAAGCTTTGCATTCATTGGAAATGCAAAAGAAATGCTTAACAAAATGACAAATAAGCAAGCAATGATTGCTTGCTTTTCCACCAATCGAATGGTTACACAATGAGCTCTCTCTCTGCTCGTCTTTGTGTGCCATGGAAATTCGCAGGAGTCTGCAATTGCCCTGGAAAATGGTAAAATAAATACCCCAGGCAAAAAAAGGTGGATGGGTGGTGGAAATACCACCGAAAAATGCAGCAAGAGAGACATGTCAGACAGAAGCAGACACTTGCTTGATGAGCATGAGGAGCAAGGACGAAAAGTCGACGGGGCATGGGCATGGCGCATTAAGTTTAACATGTCAAAGGATCAACGCAAAAGGAAAAACGTAAGGAAAGAGGGGGGAAAAACAGCGCCGTCGAAGAAAGTTAAAATGGCAAGGAGATGAACCAGAAGTCGGGTGGTGGTGGGGTGAAAAATCAACCTATACTGAGTAAATTTTCCTGCAAATGCACAAAGTAAGTGTTCTGGGGGCATCGCATTTGCATAAGACATAACAAAACACAGGACAGGCAGAATAAAACGGAGGAATCCCCCCAAGGATAACCAGAAAACTTTACTTTATTTTCTTGATTTATGTGAGGGTTTGGGGTGGAGTGTATGTATGTGAACCACATGTTTGCAACTTTGTGGTTTATTTGCAATTATCCCGACTGCCGCCGCTTGACTGACTGACTGACTGGCTGCGGAACTCGGTGACTGACTGCTCCACGACTGGCGCCTAACGAGCAGGACAACGACGTGAGTGAGTCCTCTCTTCCTCCTCTCTTGGCTGCCTGGTAATAATGCAGCAGGCGATTTGCCATGCAAAAGAAGCCAGTTCGAAACGTGATAAAGTGACTGCCTGAGAAGCGAGGGAAAGGCAAGCGCTCTGAGCTGCTCAGCTGTCCTTACAATTCTTCGTCTTGGCTGTGGGCACTTAAAAAAAATATTTTTCTTCCAAGAGTTTTTGATTATTTAAGGAATTATACATATAGTGTATTTAGGTATGTAATACTGAGAGGAAAAGTTCGATATATCGACAGAAATCTTGAAAATATCGTAAACTTTTATGTATCGATTTTGAATTTAATTAAATCGACATTAAAAAACAATAGAAATCAATGTTGATATATCGATAGTTTTAAACAATATCTAAAATATATTAAATATTTCCAATATATCGATTTTTATCGAATAATAACATATCGCCAAGTTAAAATATCGTACGGAAAAACTAAAATATATACGTTAAATTACGAAAAATTTGATATCTCCGTAAAATATCGAAAAAGTTTTACTATATCGATATTTTAAATATCTCTATATAATAATTTACCAATAAAATAAATTTACAAAAATACTTCATGGAATATAAATCACATTTAAATGGTTTCTAGGAAAAACTCAAAGGTTTGTTTTATCTTTACTTAAGAAACTAATCAGTTTTCCTACATATATCTTGTTTTATTAAGAAAAACTTGATATAAGAACTATTCCCCTTATTTTTTATCAGTGCCTAATATCACTTGGAAGACCTGCCACTAAAAAACCCGGTATATTTCTTGGGCTCCAGCAGCATTTAGTGCAACTCAAATGAAGCGCATTAGGTGAACGTGCACATGGCCAAGGACAGGGCCAAGGAAGTGGCCAGGACAAGGCAAAAAGGGGAAGCTGGCTGGGAAAATGGCAAAACAGGAGGACTCCTGCTCCCCTGCTCTCCATCCCTCTGCCATCAGATTGGCCCTTTTTCTGTGTCCAACTCTAAGTTTCGTTGGCAATACAAAAGCATTTTGCATCAGCAGAAGGATAACCAACCAACGGGGGAACTGCTGCTTGAAGATGGGAATGGAGATGGAGCTGGAGCTTTGCTCTCCTTGCTAGCAACGTCCTGAGCCGCTTTACCATTTTTTTTTTTTCAATCTCACGGCTCCTCGGGTTCAGCTCAGTTCAGTTTTGGTTCTGGTTTGGTCGGTTGGTAAGCGGCTTATCGTATTGAGCGCTCGCAAAGTATAGATTTTGCTGCTGTGAATACTTTTTAATGGCAAACACAGAGTGAAGACGATTTAATCAGCAGTATTATTTATTATACATTGCAAGGATAAAACTTTTTCTTGGTTTTCAACTTCTTTAACTATCTTTGCATTCCTTTTTTTTTTGTATAGTTAAGAATTTTGCTACAAGGAAACAACTTCAACTGGAATTGATCTAAACTGCAAATGGTACTGGGGGGAAATGTATATATATCTAAGAACTTCTAGCTGAACAAACTTTAAAGGGGATAAAATATATATTTCCAGGAAGAAATCAAATCAAATCAAATCAGAAAAGAGCATAGAGAGAGGTGTGTGGGAGGAGTAGCTCAGCAATGATTGGGGTATTAATTTCAATAAATAGATTTTGTAGGCTTTAAAAAATTTATAAGAAGATTTAGGCCAGGTTATGAAAATACATTTTTAAAGACTTTTTGCCAATTCAATAAATTTGTAAAGGTAGAAAAAAATGAAGAAAAGATATACAAAGAAAATAATTGCCAGCAGATATGTGAAATGCAATCCTAAGCCTGTTTATGTCTTTGATTTATTTTTTGTAACATGCTGGGTTTGAAGTTTTTAGCTTACTTAAGAGATGGGGAATCAAATTTTGATTTCATTCAGCCAATAAATTTTTGGGGGTAGGACAATACACAGTTAGCAACACAGTTAACGTGCAACATGCCAAGGCATATATGAAGGAGATGTCCTCAAAGTTAGGAGCGAAAGGGATATAGTTTTGGAAGCTGCAAGCAGCAAGCATTCGTGTCTTAGTTTAGGGTTTTGGCAGGCACACAAACAAAAAGTTTTTTATGCAACCATTTTTTTTCATTTTTGTTTTATTTTTTTTGGATTTTGGCTCACCTAGAGCTGGGGCCGGTATGGCACCATCTTTGGTCAGTACAACTGTGTGGGGTGTTTGAGAGAAAACAAAATGAAAATCATTTAAATAACGCTGGTCAATCATCATCATCATCAATATCATTATCATAAATCGTTATCAATAATCAAATAGCAAACGCATTAAACATAACTTAACCACAAAATACGCATTAATTTGATGTATATTAAAATATTATTTGGATGTGTTTTTTGGTTTAAATTGTTAGGCAGCCGCAAACCCCAAGAAAATAAATCGTTTAAATACTATATATATGTATTATATATATTGATTATGGTTTTCCCCTAAGTTAGTTTTTCTTTTATATTTTGTTGATTGCTTTCAAGCATTAACACAAACACAAAAACGGTGGAAATTACTAGCATGTGTGTGTAGGTTCTGCCACAAGGGAAAATGGTAGGAAAAACGTAACATTTTCATTAGGAAAACGTAGCACACACACACATACATGGCATTCTTGCTGGCAACTCAATTTCTCAGTTTTCACTGAGTTTCAGTTTTTGGCCACCAAAGAAGTTGATGTGAAAAGTTTCAAAAAACAAACAAACAACAAAAAATACAAAAAGGAAACAATACAAAAATCGAAAAAATAAGAAACAAGTCTAAAACGAAAACTTAAGGAATGTTAAGAAACTAACAATAGCAGCAAAAACAATGCACACTTAAATAGAGCTGACTTTTATTGTTTTTGTTGTTGCTGTTGCTGCTGCTGCATTTCATCGTAATTGCATTTCTTCGGCGAACATTTGAACTTGTTTCATTATGTGGCTTAAACTTAGCGCGCTGCCATGTGGTTACACGGAGAAAAACTACTACTTAAGGTTATAGAAAACTCTGAATTTAAGAATTCGTTTCTTTTTTGAAATAATATCAAACAGGAGTGACTTGAAATTATATATTTTGTAGCTTTAAAATATATTTACTTGAGGATAAAAGGCTTTAATTTCGAATTTAATTTAAAACTTTATTTTGACCGACTTTCCACTTGGGAATTCTAAGTCAATGTTGGAAATAAATAAGTTTGACTTACATTTTACAAGATTTTAGATTTTTTAAGTCTTAAATTAAATATATAAATATTTTTTTGGATTTTTTGCTGCGTTGAGAATAACAGACTTTAACTTTAAGAAATAATTCTAGACTCGACGAACTTGACTGACTTCTCAGTTGGGAATTCTAAGGGTTCATTTTCAATGTTAAATTTACTTTACAATTATTTAAGAAAATGCTAAACTTATTAAGATAAAAAATCCTTTCTCCCAAGTATTTATTAATGTATATAAATATAATTTCATATATATATATTTATATACAAATTATTTAAAATATTCTTAAATCCAGAGTTCTTCTTACTTAATTCTTTATTCTCTGTGTTTATATAGCATGTGCTTTGAATATTAAATATGTGTTGGTATGTATTTTAAAAGGTGTAATTTTTGATAGTGTAGGTGTGTGAGTGTGTTAGGGTCACTTACCGTTGGGTACTGTTGTCACTTTTTTGGTTTGTACACGTGCAGTGGCGTTATTCACCTTCACAATTGGTTATTGTATTTATTTTGATATATAGAGATTTATTTTTTTGATAGATCAGCGAGCGTGGTTGTTGTAGTTGTTGTTGTTGGTGATGAGTTTTTTTTTAAAGATTTTTATTTTTATTTTTTTGTTTATATAATATACACACACATAGCAGAGTATATATATATATAAAGATCGCATGTATATAGAGAATGTAGAAATAAATTATGTGTTAGTTAACAATTACGAAAGTCTTTGCAAATTTTGTGTTTTTAAGGTGTGTTTTTGTTGGTGGGAAATATGTGTGTGTGTGGGAAAGGGATTTTCTTATTTTTATTATGATTTTTTTCTAAAAAAAAATTGAAGGGGTATTTAATTGGAAAATAAATATGGTTTCAGTGGCATTTTTATTAACAGAATAAAAGCTTTTTCGAGCTTGATTTCAAAGAAACAATTTTATGAAACCTATAAAAAATAGGATATGCATTCCGTTTCCATTTTCAGGACCTTTTTCAATGAAAAACGTTTTCATTTCATATCTCTGTCAAAATTGTTTTTAAATTCCATTAGTTTCGATTACAAAAAAAATTGTGAAAAATTAATTTCTGAAGGCTTTTCAGCGCTCAAAACGTCAGACGATTGCGTGAATGTACATTTCCGCTTCCGGTTGCAGCCAAAAAAGAGAGAGAGAGAGACTTAATTAGACTCGCGCGATTTCCGCTGCCATGAAAATGGAAATATAACATGGCAATGCCTTTTATGCGGCTCAGTTAATTTGTTTAACCAACCAACGGCGGACAGGCGAAACTTTTCCGCGTACTTTGCACATTTTCAGCATATTTTAAATGCCAATTATTTGCGGCTGGCCAGTGAGCATTAATCAGAACAAAAAAAGGGGAAAAATGCGTATAAAGGAGAAATGCGTAATTCATTTTTAATGAAAGGCAAATAAGAATCAATCACTGTGGCGATGCGTGGGCTAGCCCTTGGATTAAATGAGTAAAGAAAAAAAATATATAAAAAGAAATGAAAGGGGGTAAACAAAAATATTATTGAGCATTTTCTCTTGACACACGCAAGGATTAAAAGTTGAAAAGCAATTTTCAGAACGCTCCTGAGATGGCTAAGAATTAGTTGGGAAAGTGTGTAGGGGGTTGGGTTGTGTTTAAGTGTGGGTTTGAGGTGTGTTTAAGTGTGGGTTGGGGGTGTATTTGGGTTGTTTTTGGTGTGTGTTTGGTGTATGTTTGTTTGGTGTATATTCTGGATAAGTTTGGTATATATGATTTTGGCATGCACCCACCTCGATTTTGCGTCCCTCAACCACGGTGCCGTGTAGACGTTCGCGTGCTCGTTCTGCATCGTTGCTGTTAGCGAATGTTACAAAACCGAATCCCTGCCATTCGCAATCAAACATGCAATTAAAGAAACATATAGAGTATATAGATTACGATTTTCAAAAAGGAACTAAATGAAAATGGCAAAAAAAAAAAAGGTCAAGTAACGATAACAACAAAAGTCTTCTTCGGGTTTTTGTTGAAGTCGTAGAAATATTTATATGTATGGGGGGTTTATATATTTATTTGTAAAGCTAAAGCTACAAAATACATCAACAAGGCGGCCAAGGACATGCTTTTTTTTTGTCGGACAAGGGGCCATTGGCACACATCTCCTTCTCACAATTCCGGGGGGATTTTTGTTGGGTTTTGGCGACTGCGACATGCACGTGCCCTACTCTGCACTCCACCTTGAACTCCCCACCGCCCACCTGGCTTTCCTCTCTCTCTCTCTCTCGCTCTCTGTATATCCTGCTGCATCTCAAGGTGCTGCTCCTGAATTATGCACAATTCCTGGTGCTATGGTAACTATGCAATTATTTTCACCCGGGTTTCTGGAGGAGTCTCTCCCATAATAATGCTGTAAAAAAAAAACAGCTCCGACAAGGTTGCCACGGCTACGCGGACAAAAACATCTCCTTGGAATACTTGAAGTGCATAATTTAAATGAATTGTGCGACAATTAGATGCAAAATGTCCTGCACAATTGGGTGGCAACAGAGCAACAGAGAGCAGGAGGTGGAGGTGCAGAATACCAAAAGCTAAGCAGGCGGGGGAGCTTCTTCAGAGCGCGTTCGCTTTTCGAGGATAAAAGTTTTTTGGCACAAACTTACCTTGCTGCCGCGCTCGTTGAATATAATTTCCACATCCAGAATGGTGCCAAATTGCTGCGGGAATAGACAAAATAATAAATATTAATTTTATAGCCGGGAGCTGTCGTCGTCAAGTAGGGGCGAAAAGTTCTCAAGGAGTCAATACTTAAAAATTAAATAAATAAGAGTAGGAAAGAAGGAATCAAGAAGGATTCTCAAGGTGACAATATTTAAAGTTAAATAAATAAGATTTCAAGAGATGAATTTTACTCTTAAATGCCTTTAATTTTATTTTCTTGTTAAGCTAGAGTTAATATTTTTAAGGCTCTTAATTGGAGATTACAGGACATATTGATATATCGACACTATATCGATTTTTGGGCAATGATGGCGATATACACATGTGAGATATATCGATATTCTGTTTTAAATATCGATATATGGAATTAATTAAAAAATACAAATACATTAAAATAACTTTATTAAATTTATTTTTCAATAATTTTCGATATTTTATATTTAATCCAAAAATGTTCTATTTTTAAAAATCGATAATTCATTTTACGATTTTTTCGATATTAAATGGATTGCGGCACTTTCTTAGAAACATTAATATTTAATTTAAATAAATATTAATTTTCATAATAATATTAACTATGAAATAAAATTTAAAATATATTTAGAATAATTTATGGATAATTTCGATAATTTTAAAATTCGATATACCAAAGTAGACAATATATTTGATATGATATTAAGTCGAGTAAATTGTTAAATAAATAAAAAAAAATATATTTTAAACTGTATAAAATTATTTTTAATAATTTAATATTTTTTTTAATATATAAAATTATTTTTAATAATTTGATATTTTTTTTTAATATATAAAATTATTTTTAATAATTTAATATTTTTTTTTATTATATAAAAGTAGTTTTATTAAAAATTTACACAGAATATATTCCATACATTTAAAAAAAATTCCTTTACTCACCCCAAACATGGCCCTTAGATCGGGATCCCGGAAACGAAACGGTATATTGGAGACATGTAGCCGCTTGGGCTGGCTCTTGGCATCAAGGGAGGCTGCTGCGGCCACGGCGGCGGCCACCGAGGGCACCGACTGGGTCGGGACTAGGGCGCTGCTGAGACTAGTGGCCGCTGCTCCTGCTGCGGTGGGCGACTGCATCGAGGTTGTCATAATGCCGCTGGCCGCGGCAGCAGCTGCATTCAGATGTGCAATCACCTGTGATGTGCTGGCCGGTACCACTCCCCCATTGTTTCCACCATTGGCCATGCTGTCCAGTCCGGTGGTGGGCAGCAGCCCAACGCCGCTGCTGCTGGTGGCTGCCAGGGTACCGCTTGATATCGAGCTGCCTGTGACCGAGGTGGCTGCCGATTGTACGGATGTGGGACTGCTGCACAGGAGTGGCTGTTGCTGTTGAAGGGCGGGCGGCGTCTGTAGAAGCGGTTCACCGCTGGCCACCGGCGATGTATTTCCCGACATGCTGCCCTCGTTGGCACTGCCATTAAGGGTCAATCCTGCTGCTGCTGCAGCTGCTGCGGCGGCGGCTGCTGCTGCTGCCTGCTGTGATGCGCTGGACGGGGAGCTGCTGAGCGGTGATCCTGGCGTGCCGCCGCCTCCTCCACCGCCGCCGCCTATACCGGCGGAGCCAGTGCCGCCGGCGGCGTTGGCCATCGCGGAGCTCTGTTGGGAATCTGCTGCCTCATTGGCGATCAATACTGTGGACTGTAAAGAAAAGAGATGGGAAATTAAAAAATTAGTTTCTATATGAATTTTTGCACAAATTAATTTATATAAAATATTTTCAATATTTTTAAGTATATTTTCCTTGAATTTTTGTAAATTTAAAAGCTTAAAAAGCAACTTGTAGAACTTGAATGTGTACAAATGCCAGCTAATTGCTCGTTTAAAATTTGTTTGTCAAAGTAAAAACTAGAATTTTCCAATTTCAATTATTCGCGAGTTTTTGGAAAAGTTGTTTGAGTTGTGCAAAGTACTCAGACTTGTTTGCAGTTTGCCGTATTTTTTCGTTGTTGAATTTTCAGTGGTGCCTGGCAAATCGAATGCGAACAAGTGCCGCAATAAATAAACAATTGAAATGAAAATACAATTTTCAAGTGGTTTACATTCCCAGAGCAGATGGAAATCCTGTGGGAAGGGCGCAAAACCGGGCCACGCATCTGTGGTAGTTTGTGCGTGTGTGTGTGTGTGGAGGTATGACCCAATAAAAAAGTTACACACACACAATTGGGACAACCAGACAGACAGGACGGTAGGGAAAGCTGGAAAACCCCATACGGAAACTCCCTGCAGTATGCACTGAACAATAATTTTAAGGGGAAATTTAAAAAAGAGAGCCTGGGTTGCCAAAGTTTTATAGAGTTATCGATAATTATGCTTAGCTAAGGTCACACTAGGCAGGGATATTTTGTGGGAAATTTAGGAACGGTAACTCATTTGTCTTTATGAACTCCTAGATATCCGAAAAAAATAGAAGCTTGACCTAATTTAGTTAGATATAAATTGTTCTGAAAAGTTTTAATAAAATTAAAATAATTGTATTATATAATTTAAATATATAAACTTAAAGTTAATAAATGTTTATTAAATTGAAAAGAAATATAATTAAAATAAAGAAACATTTATTAATATTTAATTTATATAATCTTTAATTTAATAAATGTTTCTTTAATTTTATTATATTAATTATTTCTTATAAAAATCAAAGTTAAGAGTAGCATTTCTTTCTTAAAAATAATATTTTATTTAAAAAGTTCTTCCTAAAGTCCTTAACTTATACCTCTTTCCTGTGAATTTAAGTACTTCCCTCCTCGATTTTTTTCCAGTTTATTCCTACATATTTTGTGGCACAAACTTGTGTTGACTTATGCAATAAAACTGTCGCGCAAACTGTTGCAATATACCCAATCCACCGCAGCAGCAGCAGCATCGACGGTGGCGACAATGCAATGCAATCCCCATCGAGAGCCCGCGGAAATGTTTGCATTTTGTATTTCTGCATTATTAAAACTGAAAATGCACTGCCATGGCAGGATATTATTGTTGGTTCACATTCGCAACTTCCCACTCCCCATTTTTCTCTGCAGGAATAATATGAAAAATTCTCAATTCACGCAGACAAAAACAGATCGCAGCTAAATTCGATGACAATGCAATAAAGGCCCAGCGAAAGGCATTGCGTTGGCCCCCATAATGTAGGCAATAGAAATAACGCTTAACTTAATTTGCTGCGCATTGTTGACACATAAATCTAAACAAATTTCTGTGGTATACATTTTTTTGCTATCCCTCCTGCTAGCTGTGCATTTTTTTCGTTTCCCAGGTTTGCATGTTTACCGAACATTTTGGTCCCAAAGTGAAATGGCGTGAAAAACTTTGGCCCCATAAATGCCCAACTGGGCGAGGGGCGAGGGGGCGAGGGGAGGAGAGACGGAGGCGGTTTGGTTTATTGTTTCGGGTATCGGGTTACACGTAAATGACATTTAACGCTTTTTAGTTTATCGAAATGCCTTTTGTGCGGCACGCGACATAGCTGGAGAGAACAACAACAAAAAAAAAAGGGTCTTTGATTCGCCATCAAGAATTTCTGCATAAATTTGAAAAGTTTTTTTTCCACCAAAAGGCAAATAGAATTTTGTCCGGGAATTATTTTCATTTGAATACTTTTTTTCCCTGGGTTATTTTTATGTGAATACTTTTAGGTGGCTTTACGTGCAAAGTTTTCCCTGGAAAATCAGATTACAATTCGTTAACTTGATGGGCTTTATCTTAATTATATTTTGAGTTGAATAATGGATTTTGTGAATGAAATTAGATGTGAGAAGTATTATCAAACGGGACAGGAAATAGCTTTTTCGTGGATAAAAATGACGATAATAAAAAATATAAATATAATTAAGAGAATATAATAAATAAAATCGGTTTTTTTAGGAGACAAATTGCTTGATTTTATGAAATTAAAATGCTGTTTTATAATTTCTTGGACTGATATATTTTCCTTGAATTTAATTTCCTCAAATGAATATTTCTTCTTTCCCAAAAAAATATTTAAAATAAAACAAAAAACTAAAAAACAAAATTTCCCTTAATAAGGACAATGAATACTAAGCAAAATTTAGCCACAAAATAGAAATAGAAAATATTGAAATATTTAGGAAATATCCCAGGAGTTATCTTTTCTTATGGTAAAAATTTAAGACAAAAAAATATAAATATAAAACAGAAAACTTCATAAAAAACCTCGTTTATAAATGACAAAACTTGCGTATTTTTATGAAATTCAAAACCCTTTACACAATTTCTTTTTCCTCGACACCCTCAGCTTGAATTTAATTCCCTCAACTCAATTAATTAGGAAAAACTTGGCCTGCAAAAAAATATATAAATAAAAAAAATAACAAAGCTTAGCTGTAAGGAACAAAGTTTCCCCTGATGATGACAATGCTTACGAAGGGAAAATGCAGCTACAAAAGAGTTCAAGTTGAGAGGCAAAAAGCAGCTTGGCCAGTCTGTTGTTGGTCGCCTCTAATGAAGATGAGCATGGCAAACAAATAGGATAACACAAAATGGGAAATGGAAAATGGGGGCGGGGGGGAAATGAAAACATGGTCGAAAGACCAAGAAACCGGCACGTAAATTTCAATTGTGTATGCTGTGTGCCCTGAGAGCCAGTTCGTCTCTGAATATTTTCCGTTTTTTTATTTTCCGGTTTTATTTTATTATAATTTCTTTTTTCTTGTGCTTGGTGCTTGGTAGACATATACGCCGCCGCGCCACGCCGCCGCCGCCGCCGATTTTTGCCTTATTTGACGCGCCGCCGCCAAATTATGAAAATAACGGCGCGCCGCGGCGCGCCGCTGGTGCGGCATCGGCGCAGCTTCAGCGCGGCCTTCAGTGTCATTGTTCTTTATAAAACTTTAAAAAAAATAAATAACTCATTAAAATGGCCTTTTTGCCTTATTTGACGCGCCGCCGCCGCCGGTTCTTTCTGACTACTACGCCGCCGCCGCCGAGTCATTTTGACCTCTACGCCGCCGCCGATGCCTTTAACCATCGGCGTAAACCTCTAGTGCTTGGTAGCTGGAACAACACTCACTATGCTGAGCACATTTCGTGGGGGCAGCAGCGATGATTGCAGATGCTGGTGTTCTGGCTGCTGCTGCTGCTGCTGCTGCTGCTGCACTTGGTCCATGGCATGTCCATTTGTCAGAGATGGCTGCAAAATGGGACTGCTGCTGCTGCTGGGAGGGACTCTTGGTTCTGCAAGGCTGATTCCATTGTACAACTGCGGGGTCTGTGTTTGTGTTGACAGATTTGTCTGTGATAAATTTTCAGATAACAACAAGGATTTGCGTTTTAGTTGCATTTGTAGTGGCATTCGTAGTTCGTAGTCGTGTGGAGGATGTGGATTAAGAGATAAAGTGTGGAGAGACAGGCAGGCAGGCAGTAGACCAGGCGGCGACCAACACCAACAATTTGCTTAAATGGCTAGCTTAATTTTTTACTCTCCCAACTGGATTTTTTTTTGTACAAATGCTTAATTGCTTGGAACATGCCTTGAATATATATTGTTACAGCTGTAACAAGTTTAAAAACTAAGTTTTAATGAATCGAAATGTGGGAACTAAGACTTAAAAATACTTTTAATATTTTTAAATATATATTTATAAATATATATTCATTCATTAATTGTTAAATATATATTTATACTAATTAAACCACCAAAATATAGATACATTTCTATATTTATATACCAATTTTGTTTCTAATTTCGTATCTTATTATTTTTTCACTACCCATAAATCTTTAAAATATTTCTTAATCATTAAATATCTCCATATTTCACACTTCTAATTGTTACAAATTTATTAAAATATTTTCCAAGCCATTTCTTCAACTCACCAACCTCTTTCTAAATAATTAATTCCTTGTGGTTGCTCAATTTTGACAGTTTTCCTTATTATTATTTCTTTTGGCCAATTAATATTGATAAAGTTCCGTTTGAATTAAATTTCCTCAACAATTGAGAGACAAACAAGTGAAGGAAAATGTGCATGTGTGTTGACAAAACAAACTGATTGCCCATTCAAGTGGCATAATCCTTGTGGATAAACCCCTTAAGATGGCTTTAGTTTAAATTTACCATATTTTTGCAATCCATTTGGTTTCAATTTATATATAAATTCTCCTCCATTCATGTTCAAGTATAAAATTAATTGGCATTTTCGTTAGATTTTCGCCGTGGGCCAAGCAAACATAATAATAATCCACAGGTAACTTTTCCAAATGGCACAACACTGCGTATGCGTATTGTTTGTAAGAGGTCAAAATATGTTATTTAATTAAATACGGCAGGCAAGTGAAATGTGAGAAAAACTAATAGCAAGCCATATTTATTGCAATTAATTCAATATTCGTTTATTTATTACAATTGCAAGGCATCTTTGTGGTTCTAAGTCTATTTTTAAAAACCCAACATCTCTCTTTCCCCTTTTTCTAATATCCCTGTTAAATTATTCAAATGCACGAATCAATTTTCATAAGCAAATATCTCTTGGTCAGTAAACCAAACAAGAGTTGGTATTTATTCAAATGGTTAGACCGAAAAGTACAACGAAAGCAGCTGCTTGCAAATTGCTGCTAAGCTGGTCAACAATACGTATATATATATATTTTAATTAGATTTGTGGCCAAGCTGGAAAATACAACTGATTTCGGGGGATACTTGGAACTTTTCCACAACAACAACTGCAGCAAGTGCAGCTTGTGTGTGCTATGGTCAATTTTTAATTAAAGCAGAAGAAATAAAACAATAAACAACAGGAGGCAGGATAAACGGCAGCAACTAAAAGTATGCTACAAATACATCACACCAACAACTACAACAACAGCACACCAACAAACAACTGCAGGTGAGTGCGTGAGTGTTGTTGTTCCCGCAGGCACTTTTCACTTTGCTTTGCTTCAGCGCTGCAATTAAAAATGTAAAAGCAAAGCGCCCACAACACCAAAAACAAATGCAGACTAAACACTAGCAGGTGCAGCAGCGATAACAAATACCGGCCTTGTATGTTAACATTGCCTGGTTTGCACTTAAAAAAAATATATAAATAAGCTTTAAGTAAAATATTTCATAACAAAAGGCTTATATTTGAGAGCTTATAAAATTTTTTTCAAATATTTTTAACACCAAAATTTGAACTATTTCTTTGGGAAATTAAACAAAAATATATTTTTTGCTTAAATATTCAGATTAAAAAAATCTAAAAATTAAATATATATTCTAGATTGGTTTCTAAGATGTTATAAATTATTTACAGATTAAAATATAATTAAAAAACATTATTAAATAAATAATAAAGGTCTCTCACAAGAATCCTTTTTAAATCCTTTCAAAAAGTGTCTAAAAGTATGCAATAAAATGTTTTCTCTTGTTTTTCTATTTTTTTTGATGATGTAACAGTTGTGATATATTTTTAAACACCCTTTTTTCAGATTTTAAAACGTAGATATATATTTTTGTGAAGAGCGAAAATTAAAAAAAACAAGAAAGGAAGCTAAATTCGGCACGCCGAAGTTTGTATACCCTTGCAGATATTATTTCATTAAATTTTACCTATACTTATTATGTTGAGAGTTTGACAGTTACAGCTTTACATTCCCAGTTTTACATTTTCTCTACTTCTGCCGATCGGTTTATATGGCAGCTATATGATATAGTTGTCCGATTTTCATGAAATTTATACCAAAATTTTGAACTAATAAAATTAGCTTACATCTCATAGAAGATAAAAATAGGTTGAAAAACAACGAAGTTATAATTATTTTCTATTAATTTCTCGACTGTTCCTATGGCAGCTATATCATATATTCGTCCGATTTTCATAAAATTTTTACCAAAATTCTGGAATAATATAGAATGGCAATATCTAAAAAATGGTGCAAAAATGTTGAAAAACAGCAAAGTTATAATTTTTTTCTAAAAATTTATCGAACATTTGTATGGCAGCTATATGATATAGTCGTCCGATCCGGCCCGTTCCGACATATATAGCAGTGAGAGTATATAGTAGACTATATGCAAAGTTTCATTCAGATAGCTTTAAAACTGAGGGACTAGTTTGCGTAGAAACGGACAGACGGACGGACGGACAGACGGACGGACAGACGGACAGACGGACAGACGGACATGGTTAGATCGACTCGGCTGTTGATGCTGATCAATAATATATATACTTTATAGGGTCGGAAAGGTCTCCTTCACTGCGTTGCAAACTTCTGACTGAAATTATAATACCCTGCAAGGGTATAAATATATATATATATATATATATATATATATAAAATTGGTGTTCATTTTTTATTTTGCGTGTAGCTATGGTACATATGTATGCGTAAACCAAATCAAAGCAGAGAGCATAAACCAAAGAGCAGCAAAACCAAACCAAACTAAACCAATGCAAACCGAAGCGAACCCATAAGCCAAAACCAAACATTGCTACAAATACCAATACCAAACTCGGACACAAAACCAACACAAAAACAAACACAGAGTTCGAGTTAGAGCGAGTGGTGAATGAGAGCGGGATAAATATGTGGAGCCTTCAATCGCTCAAACTAATTATTTCTTTGCTGTTGCTAAAACTCACCTTCTTCTGTTGCATGTACAGTGAACAGACAACGTCTGCTGTTGATGCTGCACCGCCGCCAGGTGAATATTCTGTGCTCAATCCTCCACCGCCGGTTCCTGGCGCTCCTGATGTGTTGCTGCTGCAGTTACTGTTGCCGCCAGCAGCTGCTCCGCCTGCTCCAGATCCTGCTCCGGCACCATCACCGGCATTCTGGTTAACTGGCTCAGCCTGCTGTTTGGCAGCCGCTGCAGCCACTGCCAGTGAGAGACTGTCGGCAGCACTGGTGGCTCCACCGCCTACACTGGCACCGCCCACCTGTTGCTGCTGCTGCTGCTGCTGTTGTTGTTGCTGCTGCTGCTGCTGTTGGGCATGCTGCTGCTGGGCGGCGGCCGCCGCTGCTGCAGCTGCTGCCGCTGGACCTGGTGCGGCGGCATAGCCGGCCGGAGCGCCTGGGAAAGGCGCCACGCCCGCCTGCACCATGTGCTGGATTTCCGGAAAAAAAATCACGGAAATAAAAAGAGAGAACGGGGAAAGAGAAGCAGAGAGAAAGAGAGAGAGAGAGAGAGATGGGTTTATGGATTAGTAATGGTCGTAAAAGTGTAAGTATTCCCCACAATGAGCACTCAAAGAGATCAAGAAATGGGAAATTTTTAAGCCACAGCAAAATGCTATCTAAAATATTTGAGGTAAAAAAATTTGCTAAAAATTTACAATTAATAAAAATTATGCATAATGCATAACATCTTCCAGTAACTTAATTTTAAGCCTCTTAATATTTTACTGATAATTTTCGAAACCTTGTTAATTGATCTAAAATATTAAACAAGCTAGGTGATAAACCTGATGTATGAAAAATAATTTTTTAATAAATCCAATATTATTATTTAAATAATAGTATATTTTTAATATTTTTTAAATATTTTTTTTATAATATATTATTTTATAAACATTTTTTACACATTTTTCTTTCAGTTAATAAGTTAAATTTAAACAATTGTCATAAATAATTTTTAAGCAAAGTTTTTAAGCAAAATAACTTTTTTCCTAGTAAAAAAATATTCAATATTCTTAGTTAAATTTTATATAAAATTGTTTCAGTATATTTTATTTAATTAAACTGTAAAGAACTCCTTTTAAAAGTCATTTCTTCCTGTAAAACCATCTTTTCGAGTGCACATTTAAAATGAACATTATGAGAATTAGTTTTTCCTGGTGACACTTTTCATACTTCCACTTCCGCTTCCCCTTTTTTTTCTCCCCACACAGAGAGACGCTTAGCATTTTCGTATTTGTGTATGTGTCTGTTCTAGCTGAGCCATAAAAGTGCAAAATTAAATCCAGGTAGTTTATTTTGCAGGTGGTGGTAACCCCCTCGGGTCGGTTGTCCTGGTCCAGAGCTTTTCGTATTAAGCTCTAGGGTTAGACAAAAAGGACACATACATATACAGACGCACACAAAATGAGACTGCCAGACAGGAAGAGGGCCACGCCAGGCCAGGACTTTTTTTGGAGGGTTTTTCGCCTTTTTTGGTTTTTTGGGGTTATAACAAAATGCGCTTTAAATTGTCAGTTTTATTTGTATAAATTTTTGCCATTATTTGGCTTGTCTCGCCCGGATTTCCAGGGCCCCACACAACCTCTGTCAGCATCTATGAAATATGCAAAATTTGCAGCTTATTGTTGGTTGTAGCTAAATACACACACATATACACACTCTCAGGAGCAGCAACAATGGTGCAAAAACCTTTCCAGGATATTTTTATATATTTTCTTTTTTTCGGGTGGAACGGGATTATCGTTTGAGTGGCATTTTAATATGTTTTTAGCTATGGAAAAATGTTGTTGCCTTGCTCCCTCTTGGTCAAAATGGTTATTAATTTTACGATTTAATGCAAATGTCAACGAAATGCGGGTGAAAGTGGAAGAGTTCTGAAATACTGCATTTGACACGACAGCAAAAAAATATATATTTCTGTGTGCCAAAGCTTTTCAATTGCGAAAAACCGATTGCGAAAAACCCACTTTAATATTAGGCACCGTTTGTGTTACAAATAAATTCGTTTAATTAGCATGGTTTATATAAATACCTGCTGTGATTATAAATACCCAGACGTTAAACTATTTTATCCGATGGACACAGTTCATCTATCTTGGCAAGCAGGCCATAAACCAGGTCTTTCAACGCGCCACAAATGCTTATCGATGCTTTTTTGCAGAAACACTGAGAGGAAAGGGCTATATTTTTTTTTTATATTTTAAAATATATATTTCATAATTTCTTAAAAAATGTTTTTTAGTATTAAAACTATATAAAATAGGGCACTGAACAATCACCTATGCTACCCAGTTTTTAAGTTTTTTTATACCCTTGCAGGGTATTATAATTTCAGTCAGAAGTTTGCAACGCAGTGAAGGAGACGTTTCCGACCCTATAAAGTATATATATTCTTGATCAGCATCAACAGCCGAGTCGACCTAGCCATGTCCGTCTGTCCGTCTGTCCGTCTGTCCGTCCGTCTGTCCGTTTCTACGCAAACTAGTCCCTCAGTTTTAAAGCTATCTGAATGAAACTTTCCATATAGTCTTCTATATGCTCTCACTGCTATATATGTCGGAAAGGGCCGGATCGGACGACTATATCATATAGCTGCCATACAAATGTTAGATAAATTTTTAGAAAACAAATTATAACTTGGCTGTTTTTCAATATTTTTGCATCATTTTTAAGATATAGCCATTTTATATTATTCTAGAATTTTGGTACAAATTTTATGAAAATCGGACGACTATATGATATAGCTGCCATAGGAACGATCGGGAAATTAATAGAAATAAAATTATAGCTTCGTTGTTTTTCAACACATTTTTATTTACTCTGAGATATACGTTTTTTTTATTATTCTAGAATTTTGGTATAAATTTCATAAAAATCGGACAACTATATCTTATAGCTGCCATAGAAGCGATCGGTAAATGTATAAAATATGTAAAGCTGGGAATGTAAAACTGTAACTGTCAAACTGTAAACATAATAAGTATAGGTAAAATGTAATGAAACTCTGTTTTGTGAGTGTCTTCAGCATTTAAATCTATAAAATAAACATCAAAACCAATCTGCAAGGGTATACAAACTTCGGCGTGCCGAAGTTAGCTTCCTTTCTTGTTTTCTAATGGATTTTAATATTTTTTAAATATTAAAAGGGTCCTGAAAATACCATCATTTTCTTACAAAATTCTACAACTAATTCTCTTTTCTAGTGTAGCATTATTATTTATTTTATTTCTATATATTTTTAGCACAACCCAACCAATTGCAGTCGCTAGGAAAATGCTATAGCTATATGGTATCCTCCCTTGGCCCCCCCTGCTTCGTTATGGCTGGTTTTTCCTAGCTTCTCAGCGATTTGCGCTTTGAAAAATTAGCTTGTTAATTAAATGCAAGCCAAAGGTGCAAGTAGTAGCCACCCATTCACCCATTCCACCCTACTCCTGTGTGTGTGTGTGTGTGTGCACACTCATCTTGTGACATAATCCGCAGTGCAAATTGGTGCTCATGTTGCTCATCCGCCACGTTGGCCAACGCCAACCCATGATATATGCGCTTTTGCTCTCCTATATACACATGTACAGCTAAACAGCGCAGAATAAAAAAAAACTTGTCATGTTAAATTTACATAAAATTTTCGTATGAGAATTCATTTTGATGTGCCAATGAAAATGTTTTACCGCTTCTTTGCCCCGCCAGGGGCTTTTCCGACAGCTGCTGACGCGCAGGGAATGAGAAGAATGGAAAATGGGGAATGTGAATGTGCTGACTTGCACTTGAGAACCACCACCGCCATGTTTCTCTTAATGAGTCTCTGTGTCTGGCAAAAAGTTTTCCTTGTGAAAAACTTCTGTTTTCCCTTTAAAGACACAACTCCCAATAAGTTTCATAATTTTTGCTGTCAACCGTAGGCGGGTCCTTCAAATACTTGGCTGCATTCACAAATATTTTTCATTTAATTGCTCTTGAAGAGAGAGAGAAGCAAAAAACTGGAAGCAGTTAAGTATTTTTTAATATTTTCTTTTCCCTGTTGTTTTTTTTCGGGGCCATATTTACATGGCAAATATTTCGTTGCAGCAGCAATGGAAAGTGGGTCCTGGCCTGGCAATTTGCATTTGTAGGAGCACAAAAAAAAAAGGCAGGCACCATCAGCAGGAGAAAAGTTCGGGCAGCTGGCACTGTTTTATTGACTGGGGCCAAAAGCGCCGCCAACTGCCATCGCTTTTTGTTTACATTTGCTGTGCGAGCTACTGTGTTGTTTTTGGAGAATATATATTTTTTTTTGAACAAAACACTTTACGTTTTTATTTTTGCAACAATTTCGACTCGCGCTGCGCTTTCAAGTGTTGGCCTTTTGTCTCGAGTCTCTCCGCCTCTGGCCGTTTGCCATTCGATTCTGTTCAAATATTAGAGCAATTTTCCATTCTCATTAAATATATTGCATTTTGGCAAAGAGCACCAGCACACGCTGCGTATGCGTTACGCGTTAAGTGTGTCACACATTCCACGGGGCGATGATTGATGGGCGCCGAAAAAAAACACACAGGTGTGTATATATAACATAAATAATGAACAGAAAAATGCGTTGAAATATTTGTGGGGGAGAGAATATGAAAAAAATATATTCGCTGGGAAATGCATTTTAAATGAAATAAGTGAAAAACTGGAAAATTGGTACTAATGGTAAGCAAATAAAACAAAAGAGAGAGTTCTTTATGGAGATTTTTTGCTAAGCAATGAATGGCTTAAATTGTGATATTTTAAAGGATGTTCTATACATTTTTGAGCATTTTTGGGAGTATATAAATTGAGGAACGTATTTTAAAATAATAAAAATTAGAGATAAGCTTTTCTGTTTTTTTGCTAAAAAAAAAACTTTTCCTACCTATAAGCTCTTTTCTTGCTGAATTCGCACTTCAGAATTTTAAAAGCTAAGCCTGAATATAAGTTTTATTCTTACATTTTCCTACATGAAATTCTTCTACAATTAAAATCTCAACAAAAACGTACCAATTACTTACAGCTTCCATTCCTTTTCTTTAAAATTCCTGGCCAAAATATTTAGACACAAACTAAACAAAAACCCCAAAGGCTGTGCCACACTTGTCAGAAGTCAAACTAAATTATATGTATGGTGGTTTCAGCCGCATTACATCAACGGAATATTAATAAACCGTGACGTGAATGGCGAGTGAAAATATTTCGTTTGTACTTTCCAAACTAAAAGTCTTGGACGCCACGTGCGTCAGTGCCGCCAGTCGTTTGTTGTCCGCTCCGATTAGCATTAACCAGTAGCCTCAGTACCCATTACCCATTACCAAATACCATATTCCTAGGCCGTCGTCCAATGATTCCCCAGTTGAACCTGACACAGTCAGAAGGCAAGTTGACCAATTGCTCAATCGCTGACGCAATTCAGCGATCGAAGCGCCAATTT